TTAGCATTTAACCAATTTTTTTGAAGTTGTGGGTGTGAAATGTGACGGAACATTAACGGAATAATAGGAGATTCGACGGAAGTTAGTTAGTTTTCTGTCCAATTGGAACCTTATTTGAGAATTTTGTGGAGTTCGAGACCTTTATTGAGCGCAATCAAAGTTTGGGTCCGAAATTACGAATTTGGTGTAAGTTCAGATCCTTATGTCATATTTTTGCCATTAATTAATTATATGTAAAAAATTTATATTTTAAAATTATTTGGTGGGAAATGGGGATCTCCGTGGAGAACGGGGATGGGGGCAAAATCTGCCATCGATTAAAAATCCTCGTAGGGATCCCCATCCCCGCCATTCACAAGGACAAGGATGGAGAGGGACTCTTTGACCTTGTGAGGCCCTGTTGACATCCCTATTGCAGACTGATTTCGTGACGCTGTTTGTCATCAACTTCCATAGCATTGCACCTGCACGCCTTTGCATGTTTTTTTTCTTCCTTTACTTCATTTTTTTTAGTAATAATATTTTTTTTAAATTAATTAATTTTTAAATCAATTAATTAATATTATATAATATACATATCCTCAAGTATTTTTTAATGAAATAATGATATTTTTTATTTTAATTAATAATATATTTTACTTTAATAGTTTTTTTTTATTAACCTTTCAGTATCCAATAACTACATTGGATTCCCACTACTTTAAAATTGAGTTGTGTCAGATTTCATTAGAAGGAAACTCTCCTAGCGTCTATTTCTCCATTCATAAGATTCAAACTTAAAATCTTACTTATAGAAATTCGAATTTCTTCCACTCAAACCAACAAGTTGGTACTTTAATAATCTTTATAAATTACTTTTTAAATTTAATTAAATCACTCAATTAATAAAAAAAATGACATAAGGACCTGAATTCCACGAAATTCTCAAATAAGGTTCCAATTGGACGGAAAACTAACTTCCGGTCAAATCTCCTATTATTCCGTTAATGTTGCATCACATTTCACACCCGCCACTTGAAAAAATTGGTTAAATGCTAATTTTGGTTCCTCAACTTCATTGAGTTTCACTTTTTTGTCCCTCAACTTCATTAAATTTCACTTTTGTGTCCCTCAACTTTATTAAATTATACTTTTTTGGTTCATAAACTATTTTTTATACTTTTTTGGTCCTTAAATTATTTTTTACACTTTTTTTAATTCCTTAACTTTAATAATTGCACAATTTTGATACTTTCATCAGTTTAAGCCATTAACTCTGTCCACTTGGTATTTTTTATAATTTTTGATGACATATATAATCTAACTGGAAAAAAATGATAACATGAATAAATAAAATAACATGTAAATAAATTTTTATATTTTTTATAAAAAAATATAAAAACCTCTCTATGTATTTTCTTTCCCCTCTTTCTTTCTCTTTCTTCTAGCAGGGGAAGAAAATAGGTGGAGATGTTTTTTTATTTTTATTAAAAATATAAAAGTTTATCTATATATTATTTTATTTATCCATGTCATCATTATTT